CTTCCGGACTCCCCGCAGCAAAATGGGATTGCTGAGCATCGCATTGGCATGGTCATGGACGTCGCTCGTACGTCTATGATGCATGCGGCTGCTCCCCATTTTTTGTGGCCGTTTGCGGTGAGGTACGCGGCGCATCAGATCAACCTACACCCCAGGGTCTCCAGGCCGGAGACCTCCCCAGACTTGCTGTGGACGGGGAAGGTTGGCGATGCGTTGGCGTTCCGGGTCTGGGGATCTCGGGCATTTGTCCGCGACTTGTCTGCGGACAAGCTGTCCCCTCGTGCTGCTCCTTGCGTCTTCCTGGGGTTCCCCCCTGACGCGCCTGGGTGGCAGTTCTACCACCCCACCTCTCGCCGTTTTCTGTCCTCCCAAGACGTCACGTTTGACGAGTCGTTCCCCTACTACCGCCTCTTCCCCTACCGCACTCCGTCCCTTCCCCTGCCGCCGCTCTTCCTTGTACCAGGTCCCCCTCCGGTAGACCCCCTCCCCCCTCAGGGTCCGTCCCCTTCAGGTGTGTCCCAGGTAGACGCAGTCGAGCTTGTCGAGGTCACTGGTGACTCTGGTGCTGCTGAGGGTGCTGAGCCTAGGGGTGCTGACTCTGGGGGTGCTGAGCCTGGGGGTGCTGAGCCTGGGGGTGCTACGACTGGGGGTGCTGAGCCTGGGGGTGTTGAGCTTGGGGGTGCTGAGCGTGGGGGTGCTGAGCCTGGGGGTGCTGAGCCTGGGTGTGCTGAGACTAGGGGTGCTGAGCCTGGGGGTGCTGAGTCTGGGGGTGCTGCGTCTGGGGGTGCTGAGCCTGGGGTGCTGAGCCTGGGTGTGCTGAGCGCGGGGGTGCTGAGCTTGGAGGTGCTCCGCCTCGAGGTTCTCCGGGTGCTTCGTCTCTGCGGGAGCCACTCTCTCCACGGGAGTTGCGCGAGTGGTTTGCCCGGCGCTGGAGGCGTGCTGCTGGTGCTGGAGGTTCTTCGGCTACGGAGGGTGCTGCTGTCGCGGGTCCCGGAGGTGCTCGTACTGGGAGTACTGGAGCTGCTGGGCCTGCGGGTTCGACTGGAGCTGGTGCTGCTGAGGGTGTTGGAGCTGAGACTACTGCTGGCGGTCCTGCTGCGGGTGCTCCTAGTACTGCTGGAGGTTCTGGCGCTGCTGGAGGTGCAGCTGGAGCGGGTGCTCCTGCTGGAGGTACTGGTGCTGTACCTGCTGTGTCTGGCGTCGCCGCGCGGCCTCGACCATACTTCGTTCCACTCCTTCAGCAGGTTGTTGGTCTTCCGCCTTCTACTGGTCCTCCTCCTTCTTTAGAGTGTCCACAGCAAGTCCCGTCACAGTTACAGTTGCAGCCTACCTCCCCTTTGCCTGCTCCTTCTCCCTACACTGGACCTACTGGAGGTCTTACTGAGCGTCGTGAGCCTGCGTCTCGCCCGGCGTCGCCTGTCCGTGCTGCTCGCGCTAGTGGTCGTGGTTCGCGTCAGCGTCCTCCTCCTGTCCCTGGCACGCACAAGATGTCTCTGCATCCGTCCACTGCTCCTCTGTGTGCCCCTTTGCCTTCTCCTCCTAAGTCCTCTCTTCCTGCTTTTGCCGACCCGGCGTCGGACTCTATTCGTGCTGCCAGTCCTACTGTCACGCGTCTCCTGGCTACTATCGTCACTGACCCTTCTTTCGAGTCCACTGCTGCGTCTGCCCTAGTTGCTGAGCTCGTCGACTTTGCTGCTCGCTGTCGCCTAGACTACGCTGCTAGTCTTGTCGCTGAGTCTGAGTCTGTCTGTCCTCCGTCCGTCGGGGGTGAGTGTGCCCTTGGCACGGACGTCCTTGAGGACAGGCAGGAGGAGTTCCAGTGCTTGGCCGCTGCTTCACCTCATCTCGTGTCTGTACTGCTTACCCCTGAGGGAGACTCGGATGCACTTGACATCCCGACTCCGCGCTCTTACGCGGAGGCGATAGAGGGTCCCTACTCTTCTCAGTGGCAGGCAGCTATGGGTGCAGAGATGGCTTCCTGGAAGTCCACAGGCACCTACGTTGGCGCTGTCCCCCCTCCTGGGGCGAACATCGTCAGTGGCATGTGGATCTTCAGGGTGAAGCGGCCGCCGGGTTCTCCGCCTGTCTTCAAGGCGCGTTACGTGGCTCGTGGCTTCAGTCAGCGGCAGGGAGTTGACTACTTTCAGACCTTCTCTCCCACCCCGAAGATGACCACTCTTCGGGTACTGCTGCACGTTGCTGCTCACCGTGACTACGAGCTGCATTCTCTAGACTTCAGCACAGCTTTCTTGCAGGGCAGCCTGCACGAGGAGATCTGGCTGCGCCGCCCACCTGGCTTCACTGGGTCTTTCCCTCCTGGTACCCAGTGGAGTCTCCGGCGTCTAGTCTACGGTCTCCGCCAGGCGCCACGTGAGTGGCACGACACACTGAGGACTACGCTTGCGGCTCTTGGCTTTGCTCCTTCTACTACTGACCCGTCGCTGTTTCTGCGCACCGACACTTCTCTGCCGCCGTTCTACATCCTCGTGTACGTCGACGACTTGGTCTTTGCCACAGCTGACATTGCTGGACTCGCCTACGTGAAGTCCGAGCTGCAGAAGAGACACACGTGCACAGACCTGGGTGAACTTCGCAGCTACCTTGGCTTGCAGATCACCCGGGACAGAGCACGCCGCACCATTACCCTGACTCAGTCACACATGGTGCAGCAGGTCCTTCAGCGCTTTGGCTTTACGTACTCCTCGCCTCAGGCCACTCCTCTGCCTACTCGCCACTCGCTCTCAGCTCTGCCTTCGGATGAGTCCGTAGAGTCGAGTGGCCCGTATCCAGAGCTTGTTGGCTGCCTCATGTACCTGATGACCTGCACACGACCTGACCTTGCATACCCTCTTAGCATTCTCGCACGCTATGTTGCTCCTGGGAGACACCGACCAGAGCACATGGCTGCAGCGAAGAGGGTGTCGCGCTACTTGTGCAGTTAGTCGGGCATGGGGCTAGTGCTTGGAGGGCGGAGTCCAGTGGTCCTCACTGGGCACGCTGACGCTTCTTGGGCTGACGACCAGGCTACGCAGCGGCCGTCACAGGGTTACACCTTCAGCCTTGGTGCCGGCTCTGTTTCGTGGCGGGCTACTCGCTCGTCTTCTGTTCTCGGCTCCAGTTGTGAGGCTGAGATCTACGCCGGGGCCATGGCTGCACAGGAGCTTCGCTGGCTCACCTACCTGCTGACCGACCTTGGAGAGTCGCCTCGTTCTCCTCCAGTCCTGTACGTAGACAACAAGGCCATGCTGGCCTTGTGTCGAGAGCAGAGACTGGAGCACAGAACAAAGCACATTGCTCTTCGCTACTTCCTTGCTCCTGAGCTAGAGCAGCGTGGTCAGTTGCGGCTTGCGTACGTGGCCTCTGAGGCCAACACTGCTGATGTCTTCACCAAGGCACTTGCGCCTTGTGATCATCAGCGCTTCTGCACGCAGCTGGGTCTTGTGCCTGTCTTGCCTCACTTGCTCACCTCTTGACCTTGCTTGTACTGTTGGATATATATACACCTGCTCTTGCTTGTCTAGTCCTTAATATATATGTACTCCTGCATGTGAACTGGCCTTGTGGCCTTGAACTTGTGCTCAGATTGTGTGGTGACTTTGTGATCCACCCTGAGCTTGCTTTGCTTTGCTTTGCTTGACTGGTCTTGTGACCCCTTGTTCTCCCCCACTTTGCCTATGGGGGTGTGTCAGAACATACAGCTTGTGCTTATTGTGTAGGCTATAGTGGGGTAGCCCATAAGGGGTACAACCCAATTAGGGTTTGTACTTGTACTCAGTTCATTCATAGTTCATTCATTCTCGTTTCTTCTCACATACAAGGAGGGGTTCGGCTTTCACCGTGTTCAGGAGGCAGTCACGGGGCTGGATACCGACAAGATACGCGGCATGGTGGTTCAGCACGAGAATGATCGCTACCGCTGGCGTCATTTCATTGAAGAACCGGCGAAGAGAGGGAAGAAGATCCTGCTGCACTTCCCTTCTGTCACATGTGACTTCTGCAACGGCCATCATCTGACCCGCTACCACAACGCCTACGTCACTGACCATCAGGCAAACATTGCCAAATGGAACCTCACTGTTAAACGTATTCATGAGATCAACGGTATTAAGGACGGCTTACGTGTTTCTATTTGCGATTCACCTCAGTTTTTAATTCCTATATACTGTACTGACTCACCTTTGTACTCACTTACACGCAGCGGCCTCTCTGGTAGTCACAGACCGCCTGAAAGCCATCTTGAAGGACCCTGCAATTGTACTGGTGTCGACCGGAGGATCCCGCGAGGACTGGGTGTATATTCAGGATGCGTGCGAGAAGGCCCATGGTGCTAGTTTTGAGCTTGCTGCGGCGCATGTAGCATCCTTCCGCCACAAGTCCAACCGCACCAAGGCAGGTGTTGCTACCCGTGCAAGCAAAGGCGCTCTCAATGTTGCGGCTCTAAGGAAGGAGTTCTTCAAGTGACCGGCTGCTGGAGAAAGAGGGAGGCAGATACATCAATAAGGAGAGATTAAGTGGTTTCCAGAATAAGGCTCACAGAGCTAGCTGTATCTGGATTTGCTGTGGCTGTATCGGCGGTAGTTGCGGTGTCTTGCTATGTGCTATTTTCACCGTGATCTTATGACCCGTGGATGCTGTGGGGTCTCCAGGCAGTGGTCAAATGAATACACCCAACACAATCAAGTTAAGCGCGGTCAATATCAACGGCTTGGGCATTGCAGGGAAAAGGAATAAGTGCTGGAGGTGGTTAAGGAAAGCTGCAGATGTAGTGGTTCTAACCGATACAAGGATAAGTGAAGATCATAATTTTTGGACACAACTAAGACCCACGGCGGTGGCCTCAGCATCGCCTTCACAGAAAGCTGGGGGGGCAGCGGTACTGGTTTTCTCACCTGAGGTACAGCTGCTGGATGTGGTGAAGCACGCGTCAAGAAGGCTGATCAGTGTCGGCTTGAGGTGGAAAGAGCCGGAGCTGCGACTGGTAGCAGTGTACCTTCCGGCGCATGCGGGGATACGCAATGTTTTCCTCAGGGACTGTCTGCTCCCCTTCTTAGACGAAATGCCTGCAGCAACGCACACGATGCTCATGTGGGATTTTAATTTGGTGGAAGACCCGGAGCTGGACAAAACTTCTAAGCTCGGGTCAATGGCTGAGAATTAGAGACTGCTGAACGGGTGTGTTGGGTTGGACTTACATGATGCCTTCCACACTGTTCACCCGGTGAAGAAGGAGTTCCCCTTTTATTCGAGGTCGGCGAGGGTGAGCTCAAGGATCGATCGTGCGCTCGTGTCGGCGTCGATGTTGGGTTGCATAGGCGGAGCCTTCCACACCTCTATCCCGAAGGGGATCACGGACCACTGGTTTGCAATCTCGGTGAAGTTGACGTCGTCTGAGGGGAAGGCGAAAGGTCCCGGCCTGTGGAGACTGCCTGAAAAAATAGCAAAGAGTCAAGGAGTGAGGAACATCGCACAGGCGATAACACAACAGCAGGACGCGGATGATCACTTTGTCAAAACGCTGAAGAAGCTGAATGCGTGTCTGAAGGAATATGCGAAAGGAGAAAGAAGGAGAGTGGCCTGCACCATCAAACATCTGGAGGAGAAGGTTGCGGTGCTCAAGCAAGCCTTTATGAGTGATGCGGGAAACCTTGACCTGCAAGAGCAGCTGGCAAGGAGTGAAGCACAGCTGAAAGTGTACTGGGATGGGAAGAACGACTGGCTGCAGACGCTAGCAGGCATACAAGGGGAGTTGGAGGGGGAAAACGTCCAAGTTCCTCACGGGGAAGATAGCTTCAAGGAGAGCGAAGACAGAGATTCAAATGCTTTCGGTGGGGGGGGGGAAACGGTGACGGAGGCGAAGGAGATCTTGCTGGCTGCATCAGATTTCTTCCGAGACCTCTTTGGAAAGGCCAAGGAGACATCGGGCGAGAAGTGGTCAACTGACAGGAGCAAGCGGTTGGATGAGGAAGACAGGGAAGTGCTGCAGGCGAAATGGACAGAAAAATAATTCAAAAAGGCGTTAGCAGAGATGCGCAAGGGGAAAATGCCAGGTCAAGACGGACTGCCGAGGGAGTTTTTTGAGAGCAATTGGGATATACTCGGGCCAGGATTGATGCGTTTCATACACTCCTTCGAGTAGTCGGCGAAGCTCCCGGAAAGCCTTACGACGGCAGTAACGATCCTACTACACAAGAAGGGGGATAAGGAGAGATTGGAAAACTACAAGCCGATCACGTTTTTGAACACGCTATACAAGATTGTGGCAAAGGTGCTGGCAAATAGGATGAAAAGAGTTCTATCGAAAGTGATCTCGGAGGACCAGCATGGTTTTGTACCGGGGAGGAAGCTGTCAGATGCAGTGGCGGCAGTGGCAGATGTGATTGATGCAGCGGTGACGGGGAAGGAGGATTGGTACCTGCTTTTGGTCGGCTTTCAGAAGGCATATGATTCTGTGTCACAGAAGTACCTCTTCAACACCCTAAAGGATATGGGCTTCCCGGAGACGTTTGTCAGCTGGGCGGAAGGGCTGCACAATGAAGCGGGTACCAGACTTCTCCTCAATGGGTGGCTTGGAGAAACTCTGGGGGTGGAAGTCGGGGTAAGACAAGGATGCCCGCTCGCGCCGTATCTGTTCATCTGCGCAGTGGAGCCATTATGTCAGGAAATTAAGAAAGGAAAGCTCTTGGTCAGGAAACGCAGAAAGGGGGAGCTGGCATACCTGGGGTATGCAGACGATACTACACTGGCGTTGAATGGGCTTGCGCAGGTGGAAAAGGCGGGGGAGGTGCTGAAAGACTTTGGAGAGGTGTCAGGCCTGCGCATCAGCCAAGAGAAGAGTGTGTTAATGCCGCTGGGGAGAAACCGCTGGCGGAAATTAGTGAAGCAGACATTTTTCAAGATGGCAGTGCCTGACCAACCGGAGAGGCTGTTGGGGGTATGGATCACACCAAATGGGGAGGCGGGACCGTCCTGGGAAAAAGCTCACTTAGTCGCTGGGCAGCACAGCATCTTATAACGACAGCCAGGGTGGCGGTGATGAACTCATATGCGATGCCGGTGTTGCTCTTCCAGGCGCAGATATACCCGCCGCCGGTTGATTTCTGGACAAGAATCCGCAGATTATGCCACAATTTCGTGTCGGGGGGGGGGGAAGTCGTCGCTGGACAGGAGGTTCGTCCTCTGGAGTTACGACCTGACATGCAGAAGGAGAGACGGGGGATTGGGGGTCATCAGCCCGAGAGACCGGACAGACAGCATGGCGTTACAATGCCTCAGCAAAGCCATCGCGGAAACAAGTGACATAAAAAAATGGATGATGGAGCAAGCGGCGAAGATGCCGTTGGGTTGGGCGACGCTGTGGGCACATAAGAATATTGCCAGCCAATGGAAAGAGGGGGGAGAAAGGTGGAAAGCCTTCCTGCAAATCCTATGGAAGAGGGATATCCCACTGTTTGGAGAGCCGCAGTCCAGATGGGAGGTGGAGCTAGAGCATCTCTGGTTTAACAAGCGGATCCTCTTCAGAGGGAACAGTCCCTTCGGCGCGCAGAGAGGCTCGGAGTGCTTGAAAGGGATGAAGCTTGCCGACCTGCTCATCGCAAATCTAGATGGGACAGCGGTGGTCAAGGACTTGGAGAGATTGAGCAGGGAGATGGGAGGCAAGCCACCGGCTAGATGGGCGCTTAAGGCCTTTCAAGCCGCCCCGGTGGAATGGAGAAACAACTTGTTAAAGCAACGGACAGCGGAGGAAATCGCTGAAGCAATAGACTTGGTTCGCACCGGAGGGGAGGTAGTGAAGCAGCAGAACTACTGGAGAATCTTGCGCACGGAAGGGGAAAGGTTGGTGGTGAAAAGAATGGAGGTAGTACGAGGCATCATAACACCGGCTCCGTACGCAAGCCCTTTCGCCATCAGTGTGTCATGGGTCACTCCGATCAAAACGGTAGACGAGAAAGTGTTGGGCCCGCTTGGCCATCATCTTACCAGGCTAGGAGAGTTGGTGCTCTGCAAGGGAGGGAAGTTGGTGGCTCTGAAAACCCTAAGAAGAGCTATCAGGGAGCCACCCGAGAAGCCGAAGCAGCAAGTTTGTTGGGAGGAGGAATATGGGGGAAAATCATCTGGGCAAGGACTGTGGCTGCCCGGGACTCAATGGTGGTGCCATCCAGAGCAAGGGAGGTGCTCCTTCAGCTCCACAGCAAGAATTTACAGGTGGGCGCCAGGCTTCCTTTCTTGGGCAGCTTGGCGCGCTGTCCGCACTGTGGAGCAGAAGAGACAATGGATCACTGCCTGATGTTTTGTCCGGAGGTGGGAAGAGTTGTCGGGAAGCTGCAAGCAGCTTTGAAAGTTTCGGGAGTGAAGGAGGAAGCGAAAAGTGTGGGCGAGCGGCTGTTCCGAGACGCATGCATGAAATCCAGTTTCCCGGAGCTGCCGCTGGTTGCTATCACTTTTCATCAACTTTGGTTGGAGAGGTGTGGAGCAGTTTTCAGACAAGAAAAGTTTCAGTACAAGAGGGTGATCAGGAAAATTATGGCAAGCTTCATGCGGCATGTGAAGGCATACAGCATTTGGAAGGGCATGGAGCAACGAAGGACGAAGTCAGCGTGCGGCAGAAATTGGGGACACCTGGCCTTGGATGAGGTGAGGGCGCTTGGCAACTTGTTTGTAGGGAAGAAAGACATGACGGGGACAGAGGGCTTTCGTGGGATCTGGGAAGATATGAGGGCACGTTTCAAACTGCCATAAAGGGGGTCTTGGGGGAGTAACTGCTAGTCCCGTTAGTAGTTAAGTCCCTCATGGAAACAGTTACGACTGTGGTTGTATACTTATCTATAGTGTACTTCCAAAAAAAAAAAAAAAAAAAAAAAACATCAGTGTTGTTTGTGAATTCAGACGGAGTGTACAAACTAATCTGAAAAATCAGACGAAAATAAATTGCATTTCTAGTGGTTCAGATGAATATTTTTCCTTCGTCTGCGGATTCAGATGAACACTAAAAAGAGTCTGATTTTCAGACCATCAGACGAATTTCGTCTGATATCAGCGTCCCTGCCCTATAGCCCGCGCGCGGCCCGCGCGCAGCCTGTGCAGCCCGCGCTAGGCCCGCGCGCAGCCCGTACGACCCGCGCAAGGCCCGCGCGCAGCTTGTGCAGCCCGCGCCAGGCCCGCGCGCACCTGATCTGTCGCGCGCGCACTTGCACTGCCCCTGCTGCTGCCTATGCTACTGTTTCTGCACTGCTGTTGCTGCTAAACTACTGCTAGTGCCCTACAGCTCCTGCCCGCGCGCCACCTCTGCTGCCCGCGCGCCGCCAGTCTGAAGCCCTTGCGGCCCGCGCCCTGCCATTGCCGCCCGCGCGCCGCCTCTGCCTGCCAGCGCGCCGCCTCTACTATCTGCGCGCTGCCTCTGTTGCCCGCGCGCTGTCACTGCCTGCCCGTGCGCCGCACTGCAGCCATGGCTATGCTCAACGTTCTCTCGTTTGACCCTGACGGTTGCCCGATAGAGTTCCCCACGTGGCTCGATGACCTGCAACTGTACCTAATGACTGATGCTAAAGACGGCGTTTCCCTATTTGACCATGCGTCTGGCTCCTCAGCCGCTCCTCTCTACACAGCTGATAGCCTCTCTCGTTCACAGCAGCAGACCTGTGACGCAGCTACTCGCCTAGCTATTCGCAACCATCTGCCGTTAGCTGAACGTGCTCACTTCGACCAGCACAAGACCGCTAAGGACCTGTACACTGCTGTAGTCGCTTGCTACTCTTCCCCTGCCACTGCTGCTCTCAGCCGTCTTATCCTGCCCTACCTGTTCCCAGAGCTGTCCTCCTTTGCCATAGTTGAGGACCACATCTCCCACCTTCGCACTAGTGGCGTTCGCTACCGTGCCACTCTCTCAGCCGAGTTCTTAGCCGCGAACCCGCCCCCGATGTACATCACGCTCTACTTCCTAGTCACCCGCCTCCCTGACTCTCTTCGTACGGTCAGGGACCACTTTCTCGCTCTTGACCCTACCACCCTCACTGACGACGACTTTGAGAAGCACCTCCTTGTAGCTGAGAAGAGTATTGTCGCTGTAGGTGCTGCTCGTGGCACTCCTCGCACTCCCCTCTTTGAGGGGTGTTCCCCCTCCCCCCTTGCCCCCTCCTACGCTTCTGCTGCTGCTGTTGACCTCCTTGGTGCTGAGGAATTCGGTGCTGCTTCTGCTCCTAGTGGGAGGCGCCGCAACGGCGAGGGCAAGGGAGGCAGGAGTGGTGGAGGTGGCGGCAGGGGGGGAGACGGTGGTGGAGGCGACAGGGGTGGTGGAGGTGGTGGAGGTGGCAGTGGGAGTAGTGGCGGGAGTGGGGGCGTCGGCTGTGGCAGTAGCGGTAGCAGTGGGAGTGGAGGCGGCGGAGGCGGCGGCAACGGGATTGGTGGCGGTGGAGGCGGCAGCGGCTATGGTGGCGGCAGTGGGAGCGGTGGCGGCGGTAGTGGTGGCGGTCGGGGTGGAGCCTTTCAGAGGGGAGGCTCTGGTGGTGGTTAGAGGCAGCAGCAGCAGCAGCGTCCGCGCAAGACCCTTACATCCCAGCACCTTCGTGAGTGGTATGCTCAGCGTGGGTTGCTGTTTGTTGCCCATATGTCATTCGCACCGGTCCCCGCACTAGACAGCCATGCGGGAAATTTCACACCGAGTACCGCTGCTTCTCCCGTCTTGATGATGCCTGACGCACACAGTTTCCTGATGCACATGAGCTCCCCCGTTGGGCAGACCTGCTTAAGCGCAATGTTGATATCTTTGCTCTAGACTAAAATGCTATTCTTGCTGCCATGTATGCGTTGTCTGTTAGTGCTGAGGGTGACTCTTACCTGTGTATGCCGGTCGACCCAGGTATAGAGGCCGCTGCTCTAGGTGCTAGTGAGTCTGCTCTCTCTGGTACTGCGCCTGCTAAGGCCTTGCACACTTTCACGCATGACTCAGGTGCTTCTCGCTGCTTCTTTCGCGACAGTACCACAATCACACCACTCCCTGCACCTGTTGCA